GTATATATTCAAATGTGTATGCACACAAAAGAAATAAATATATGTAATACATATACATATTAAGTCTACATTTATTGGATTAATGTATGTATATGCTTAGTTTATATAGTTATATAATAGACACATATTCATTATTTTTTGCATATGAAAACCTTTATTTATACAAAAGTTTCCTCTTTTTAGAAACAATTTTATTTTACATATCAACCACAGTTCCCTCTCCCTCCCAGCCTCCCATGCCTCCCACTGACTCCCACCAACCTACCTCCCCATTCCCCAAGGATGATGAGGCCTTCCACAAGGGATCATCAAAGTCTGTCACATCCTTTGGGAGAGGGCCTAGGCCCCCTTCCATGTATCTGGGATGCAATAGTATCCCTCCATAGGAAATGGGCTCTCAAAGTCCATTCGTGCACTAGAGATAAAATACCCATGCTGGAGAAGACGAGGAGAAAGAGGAACACTCCTCCATTGCTGGTGGGAGTGCCGACTTGTACAACCACTTTGGAAATCAGTATGGATATTCCTCAGGAAAATGGGAATCAGTCTACCTCAAGATCCAGTAATTCCATTCTTGGACATACACCCAAAGAATGCACATTCATACTATAAGGACATCTGTTCAACTATGTTCATAGCAGAATTGTTTGTAATAGCCATACCCTGAAAGCAACCTAGATGCCCTTCTACCAGAGAATTGATGGAGGAAATGTGGTGTATTTACACAATGGAGTATTACTCAGTGGGGAAAAAAACAATGAAATCTTGAAATTCACAGGCAATGTATCTAACTGGAAGAAAATATCCTGAGTGAGATAATCCAGTCACAGAAAGACAAGCATGGTATGTACTCAATCATATATGGATATTAGACATAGACCAAAGGATTACCAGCCTACATTACACACCACCAGAGAAACTAGGAAACATAGAGGACCCCAAGAGAAAAACACATATTCATTATTATATATATACATTTTAAAATTTATTTTAAATATAAAATGCATATAAGTAAACATGCTTGACATGTTTGTGTATATTAAACATAAGTGCTAAATATTAATAGGTATCCTCTAACTGTATGCTGGGCGCATTACCTCGTAAGCAGTGCCTTCAGCAGGATGGTACCTGACTCTCACCTATGTGCACACACATGCACCCTGTGACATGCAGGTTTCTCCTCAACCCCAGAGATCAGAGTTGAGGCACATGGGTGGCCTACCTGGTGGTCTTTCTCTGGTTCCCGTTGTCTCCCCTGCTGACCCTGCATGCCACTCACAGCAGCGCTGCCCTAGCTGCCCTGCCATTTGTGTAATTAATTTGCATGTTTTCCAGCTAGAGGTAAGAGCTCTTATCACCACTGGGCAGCTATCATCTTGCCGCCGGAGGAGTCACTTGGGAGATGGTTTCAAACATTCAAGTGAACTCTGCAGGTGTCTTTAACTCAAAATCATAAAGACAATTTTTTTTCCAAGAAAATTGTCTTGCACTACTCAAATTTTGATAAATAGTCACATATGAACCATTTATGTGTTCTTAATACTGTCATCTTCATTCTTTCTGTCCTTGTTGCCCTATTAATAAAAATAAATTAAGTTGCTGGTGACCACAGTGTTTCATGTGCTAACTGTACTTTATTACATACTTGGTATCAAATGCTTTAGCTTTTATTCCTTTGTTTTAGATACCTTCTATGTTGTTTTCAACATTTTTAATGATTTCTGTCGTATGCTGTATCATGACAAACTCAGGGTGAAAATAGAGGGGAAAGAGGGATTTAAGACGTAGGTTGAGAATTTGAAGTCTGTCTGCCTGGGAGTGTGAGCTGGAGAGTGGACAGCTGCCCTGTTCTGGTCTCTGCCGAGAGCATGAGGAGAAAGCCGTAACCTGCTTTGGGAACCGCTACAACAACCTCCAGTCAAGCAAGTGCATGCAGGTGGGAAAGGTGGGCTCGGCTGACCTGAAACACGGCATCACGGGCCGCGAGGAAAATGTCTCAGAGATGGGCGGCTAGCTTTGGCAGATCAGCAGTCAGATACAAACACTTAGATACCCTCGATTCATAGTTTGACTCCTGTGCAGAGATATTTCTATACACAAACTTAATCTAATCTATTCATACTTTGATAACAAAATAGTGAATTTTGAGACCAGCTTGTGGAGAAAATCAAATAACAGTCAAGTGAGTAACCCCTCTTCTAAGGGGCATTCACATGTATAAATGTTGGGAATTATGTGTTTTAAAATAGAAGGTTGAACCTAATGTGACAGAGATACAAAGTTTATATACATGTGTGCGTGTGTGTGTGTGTGTGTGTGTGTGTGTGAAAAGATATAGGAAATAGTAAGAAAAGTATGCACCTAATGTGAGCTAGGCACAAATGTTGTTGCAAAGCAATTGTGGGGGGGAAATAAGAGGAAATGAAAACACCGAAAAATAAATAAATAACCTAGGAGCTCCCAGGGAAAGACTGCCACACACTATGTATTACACTGCTGTAATTAATCAGTGGAAATCGTCCATCTGTCCTGGCTCTTACACACACCTGTAGAGGGGGATCCTAACAACCCCAAGCAGAACTTGCGGGTCCCCCGATGAAGAGTTCACCACAGTTGGTAGACTAACATTTGTTATCAATGAGTTGCTGCCGAACTGCAGTTCCAAGGCTGTCGCTGTAAAACCACAGTGCGTCCTGGTTTGTTGGAGGTTAGTAGCACTTGTTAATTTGATCAAGGCTGAAGTTTACGGAGGATAAAGTAAACAATGCAAACTGCAGACACCATCAGTTTCCTATGGGCAGTGAAGTGTAGTCTGTTCCATTTACACTTCACAACAACATCTGATGGGCTTTGTCAGTGCCGCACAGAGTAATTAAACCTGAAATCAATAGCAGGCATTTGTCATGTTTACAGCCGCTCTTTCTGCTGGGTTAAACTCATCAGTTTAGTGCGCTTCTGTTTTACTGCAGAGACATGCTCCATTATTTCTTCAGGTACAGTTGAGATATTCAGTTACATGCCCAATAGTTTGAATACGACATTAAGATTAAAAGGGACAGGCAAATGGACAGTTTTTGTAATTTATTTGCTGATTTCCTTAACCGGCGTTGGATTTCCATTTCCTTCTGTCCTTTTAGGAAACCCTTTGTGGTTGGAGATAATAAATCCCCATACCTCCAGAAGTGGCAGAAAGTCTCACCACACGTTTGATAGAATTTGCCACTAGCTGTAGCCGCACACATGGCTCGCTGCTGGCATATTTGGAGCTGGAGACTGAAGGATAACTGTGATTCAGAATGGTTGCCACATCTGAGGAAACTTGGTCTGCCCCCTCATTTGTAAGGACTGACTGAAGTTTTCCTTTCTGTCACTCTTCAAACAACTCTGTGTTTCATTCATCTGCTCCTTTCTGAATTTTTTTCTGTAATTTCTAAGAAGTTGAGGTTTTAGAGGATAAGGGTCTGTGGCTCAAAGAAAAAGTTGGCACACATGTCTGAAGGGGGTTGAAAACTGTATGGTTTGGAGTGTTCTAGTTGCTTGATGGACGCTCTTGCTGGCCCCATTTTCCCTTCCAATGCCATCCTCCTTGACATGTTACAGAAGACAGGCTGGAAAAGAAGGAATCTTACTGCTATTTGCTTCTACAATTACTTTTATGGGTGTTGTGTTTTCCCATTTTAACATCCCCCTTCCCAAATACACTTAAGGGAAATATATCCATTTGTATTTATTAATAATGTCCCCTGGATTTGAAAGTCACAAAAAAACCACTTTTTTTGCAAGCATCTTTCTCTTAAGTCTGCTTACACATTATGTTATTATTACTTATTGACATCACCAAATCCCGTGGGCCAAATTGTCAGTGGAGAGCACTGGTCATCCATAGGAACGGGCATGTCAAACACTTAAGAGAAATTTATGATTTCAGTAAACATAGCAACTATAAAAATTGTACTCACTCTTATAAGTCTAAAATGCAGAAGGTTATGGGATGAATTGTTCTCAATTAGTAAAAACTGGCTATTTCTGCTTTCTACAAGTATGGGCCATTCAGGGATTGACACATGAATGCAGGGAGTAAAACACAGAGACCCAGATTCTGAATGTCCTAGGCATCAAGGTTTGTCATTCTAGAGCCGATCTACTTTTGTTAGGATGGACAGAAATCCTGTGTTTTGAGCACCATGCTCTGCCTCATTCCTGGGATCCCTGTACTGTGTATCATGACCATAATTTCAAAAGTTTCCACTCATAAATGGGGGAAACAAAATTTGAGGGATAGTTGAGAAGGTTAAAGTGCCTGCTGTGTAAGCCTGACAACCAGATACTAATCTCTCAACACTAGTGCTCTGGCTTGTGCATGTGTACTGTGGTACAGGCAGGCATGCATGTGCACTCATTCACAACATGCACATCATAATAATAATTAAAAAAAGAACAATGAGCTTGCAAAGACAGTCTGGCCAGAAATGTCTTTGCTTTTTTCACATATACTTTCTCAGCATATTTGATTCAAATTTTTGAGAAATATAATATTTCCTGTGTAAGTGGGAATTAAAATTAAACGTGTGAGTGGGAATTAAAATTCTACATGATTTTGGCAAGACAAATGAGGAAACTTCTGGGACATAATGATGGTGATGCATCTGCTGGAGTCATCAAAGCCAAATTTTATAATTTTGTTATCTGGACTTTCAATGTGCCTTGATAAGAAGGGTGGCTCTTAGGAATTGTACCCAAAGTAGTGATTAAAATAACAGTGGCAGCTTGCATATCCACAGCTACACTTTAGAGACCAGGAAACTTACTTGAAGTCAGAATGTCTGATTCTGCTGAACCCAAACTTGGAAATTATACCTCCCATTCTTTAAGCTCTTGTTATCCAAGTGTTGAAATTTCTTTTATAGACTATGTCTATGAAAAGTTACATGTTATCCTTACATTGCAATCTCAAAATAAATGCAAACTCAAAGTAAGCCATATTTTTACTTAATATGGTAAGAATCATCCTATATATATCTAAAAAGAAATTAGCCTTGCCCAGGGTCCATGATAATCTTCTCTGTATCATTCCAATTTTAGTATATGTGCTGCTGATTCCCCATGGAAGGCCTCACCATACCTGGGGAGTGGAGCAGCGGTAGGGTTGGAGGCTGGGAGTGTGGGAAGCAGGGGAGGAGGGGAGGGAGAGGTAGCTGGGACTGACATGTCAAGCAAGCTTCTTTCTAATTTAAATAAAAATAAATATATAAAAAAGAAATTAACCTCCCCCAGAAGAAATTTGAAATATTTGGATGGCATTCAGTCTTCTCCTTTGACATCTATAATTTAATTTCTTAGAAAAAATCTTAGAAAAAGATGAAAGCAAAATAATCTGACTACTTGTGTATTGGTTACTGTTTCTCTTGTTGTGATCAAATACCTGGTAGAAGCCGTAAGGTGACAAGGGTATGCTTTAGATCATAGTTTAAAGGACGCAGTCCATCATGGCAGCAAGAATATGGTAGCTAAGATGGAGTTATCTGCGGACGTGGCAACTTTTGACTAGCCATGTACCAGTGGCAGATAGAGAGCAGAAAGAACTTGACAAGAACCAGGCCATCGGCCTCAAAGGTCAGCCCAATCAGTCTCTCCACCTAAACACAAACTAAACCTTGCTGTCTTACTTTTTAAAATAATTTATCTCATTGTTGCTTATAAAGATTTTACCTGCATGTGTGCATATGCTCCATGTTCATGCCTAGTACCTGTGGGGGTCAGATTGCCTGGAACTAGATTTGCAGATAGCTTTGAACTATAATGTGGGTGCTAGTAACTAAAACCTGGGTTCTCTGCAAGAATAGCAAATGCATTTAAGCCATCTCCCCAGCCCTTAGATGATAACATCTCAAAGGGTTCATAGCTTCCAAAACAGTGCCACCCATTGGAGGCCAACTGTGGAGGACTTTTCAGACTTAAAACCTAACAGTATGCATACATACATACGTCAAAATAGTTGTCAGTCTTCATTTGTGATTGCAGATAGTATTGATTACTGTCCTCTACTCACCATTTAAATGGCCATAAGTCTGAGTAAGCACCTCACTTCCTCTGTTTACCTTGGCTTGATCCAAGCTTCCATTCTGCAAGGGCATCACCCATTAGCAGTCTGCTAGAGTTGGGTTGGGTTTCTGCAGACTTACACTGATTTTAATGATAGATTATGGAGTTATGCTAGATACTACATTCTAGAGTATATCCTTCAAGGTATTGCCACCTAAAGTATACTCTCATTGGAGTCCTCGAAGGGTGATTTGATTCCATATTCCCTAACTGGTTACTACAAAAAGATGGAGAACCCAATAAAAACAGTGTGTTGCATGAACGTTGACCCATTACTGTATTTCATTAGCTGAAAAATGAATTTATTGTTCAGAAAATAATGCTGAGCACAATAGCATAACAGTCCATGAAAATTTTAGTGAATCTGTGGATGTCTGAATCTGGGTCAGTGTGCCAGGTGAGCCTGACTAACATAGAAGCTAGGACTTCTGTCATAAGGTCCAGATGACAATACATGGGTGTAGTGTGGGAGGTCCTCAAACGTATCTTGTAGTACTCCTGCATGCTGCCATTCAAGTCAATTGAAAACTAGAACAGGCTAATTAAATGAGGATAGAATGGCCATTGCTTTTCATGAGTGAAGGCTTGAGTCACCACACCAAGCACAGGACCAAAAACCTAAGTGTACAACCTAAGTAGTTAGAGAAGTCAATTCATATCCAAATAGCCTATTCCATACGAACAAAACCATCCAACAGATGCCTGAGTATTATAGCATACTGAGCAATATATGGACAAGGCCTGAGATTACTCTTTCCCCATCAACTTGTGTTAGAGAACCCCCAATGGGACAAAAGACAGACAGAGGAAACTCAACCTTTCTCTCTGGGGACAGTCCTGTCACCCAGCTCCCAAGTAAATACATGCAGACATTTTTACTTATGAATGCCTAGCCTTAGCTTTGCTTGTTTATAGTTTATTGCAACTTAAATTACCCTGTCTACCTTCTGCCTTTTATCTTTTTCTATTCTATATACCTTTCCTTACTTCTTACTCTGTTGCTGTCTGTGTGGCTGACCCATGGCATCCTCCCCTCCTTTTCTAACTCCTCCTTCTTCTCTTTTTCTGTTTCTATTTATTCTCTCTGCTTGCTGGCCCCACCTATCCCTCTTCTGCCTTGCCATTGGCCATTCAGCTCTTTATTATATCAATCAGGTGTATCAGTCAGGCAACATAACACAGCTTCACAGAGTTAAATAAATGCAACATGAAAGAAAGCAACACATTTTTTCACCATTAAACAAATATTCCACAGCATAAACAAATGTAGCACATCTTCAACTAATTTTTCACAACAGACAGCTGTTTGAGTTCACATTCACGTTTTGTAGCCTTCTTATGATTGTTCTATAATTGTGTGAAGAAACTTCTTGTGGTAGAAGGATAAATGACTAAGTAGAAAATAGATTCAGAGACCTAGATGATGATAGATGATAGAAAGGAGAGATAGATAGATGATAGACAGGTGGAGAGATATAAGATGGGTAGATATAAGAATTTAGGGGTAGATGATGGATTAGAGAGATGATCTATTGATATATGTGATATATGATAGATAAGATTGCTATGATAGATGATGCAGTCCATGTTGATCTATCATCTATGGTGACACATCTGAAGTTGACAATGGAAATTGTTACAAGAAATGTGTTGAGCATTTCATTGTTTTGTACATATCACAGTGCATATTTTCACACATTTATATGGTACAGGTCAACCACTTGATGTGGTCTCTTAACGTGAGCCAGAGAACCAATATATTTAAGATGGACGACATTTCTGACAGTTAAACATCACATAGTATCTGAATCTTTTTCATTAGGTAGAGACGCTCTACACTTACCTAATGATTAGTGTCATACATAAACTAGCAATATATTATCAAGCATTGCACTTTGCCTATTTGTATGCTCTGCACTTTTGTGCAAGTACCACAAAGCACACAATCTTGGTCTACATGAGCACTACCACGAACGTGATGAATGGGCTGTGCTATGGCAACATAGCTATACCGTCAGCAGCCAACAGTGATTTATGAGTTTCCTCATCATCTTATGGGACTTCCTATGTATGTGTACCGTGATGGTGATGAAAATTTTGTTGTACCACCCATAATATATGTCTTACAGGTCTTCCTTTCCCGATTGAACCTAAGATTCCCATCATGTAGCATATGTATGCTTTCTCCGTGCATTCAATTAACACTAGCCTATGTGCTGCTGTGATGGGATTTTGCACATGCAATTAAAGTCCCAAGTCAGTAGCTTTTTAGGAAAAGGAGATTATCCCTGGTAAGCCTGACCTAATTAAGGGATCCCTTAAGAGTGAGTGGGCTTTTCCTGGTAAAAGAAATTTAAGGAAGGAGGAGAGTTTTGAACAGAGCTAGTCCTGGCCTGAAGGAGAAGGTCACATAGAAAGATCCCACATGGACATGTAGGAGCTGAGACAAATGCCATGCTCACATCCAGGTGTCTTTGGTCACAGCCCCGTGAAGTCTCTAGATAAGTCCTCACCTGCATATCAAACACCAATAGGGACTTGTGTAAGATGACATGATATTGTTTTAAACTGCTTAATGCAGGTGATATCCCATACAACAATAGAAAAGTAAAGAGAGATGCTCCCTTAAACACAGATACATTCCCTTTTATGAGGCTGATAAACACCCACATTTGAGATTACCAGGTTTGGAAGCTTCGTTTTCCCTCTGAGTCACATGTTCTTGGCAACACAAACTGGGGTAACTCTAGCTCGAAGTTCTGGCTTGCTTTCCTCAGATTACTCTGAAAGCCCTGGAGGCAAGCAGAGGTTTAGAGGGAAAAGAACTCTGAAAAACTCAGCTTTGCATTTGCCCAGCTCCAGAATACACATTGGAGGTCCCAGGGTGATGACTCCTGGATCTGCTAGTATCTGTGAAGACCAATCTAAATGTGATTGATTCTTCCATGGATACCATCAGAAAATATTAGGCAACTTTTGGGATAATGTTTTCTATTTATAAACTTTGATTTGTCATTGACTTATAGTCAAACACATTAAAACTGTTGAAATTCATCTAATTTGCAACACAGCTATCATTTATACTGTGATAATTGAGATATACTGGAAAGCATCTCTTAGTGGATTTCTTTAAGAAACTGAGAATGTACTTTTAGTATCGCAGAAATAGTGAATTCACCTGGAGTCTGTAATAAAATACAGACAACAGCTGTGAAGTACTGATGTCTACAGGAATAAAAACCAGCACATACAAGTATAGCTTTACAAGAGCAGGTATGGATGAAACAATACAGACTCTGTATACACAATGACTGTAATGCAATTTATATGGATTTTAGTACTATGAGACAGCATATTATGTGGACTCTCTGGTTGAGGAAAAAAAACTTAAAGAACTTCAAAGATTTTCAAAGAATTTTCAGGTGATAACCATTTGAACAGCAGGAATTTTAAACCTTGGTATTGCTATTGATTTTAATGTTTCTTTAAAATGTGTTAGAGACTTGATTTTCTGATAGGATTATCTTACAACAAAGCTTACAGGAAAATTCTTGACACAATGTGTTTTATGAAGAGAGTTATATAAAATAAAATATTAGGAACTGTAATTAAGCATAATCACATTACACTAGAGCTTGTAACCTCAGTGCTTTGGCAGAGTGGAAACAAAATGTCCACAGGTAGTAAGGCTGGAACCAAGGAAGAGTTGTCACAGAATTATACCCCAGAGCATGTACACGGCACAAATATAATGTGGAGACAACTGAGCATTGTCTGCAAAAGACAAAATGGTTGTGTTTTATGGCAAAGAGATTAACACCAAAATTTTAACTCTTTCAAATGTGTCATGTTTTGTCATTTGCAGTCATTTGGCCTCAGAAAAATATGAATAAGTGACTTACAAAGAAAAATTCCTTCAACAAATTCCAGAATAAATAGATTCATATATGTGGATTATATATTATACATATATAGCTTAATATACACACATGGATACATGT